AGAATGGTAAAAGAGGGTCAAAACGAGATTCACCCTGTGCAGATTCACCTGATCGGGATTCGGGATCGGCACCTAATCACAGTAGTATCCGTAATAAAGAGGTTAAGTTTATATGAAGTTACTCTCTGGAGCCGAGATTTTTGTCCGTATTAGAGAGAGTCGGTATTATGGGTTTTTTTAAAGAAAATATATGAGAATTTCTCGGGACATTGGAAACTGTCCGTATTAGAGAGGTATCCGTACCGAGAGGTTCGACTGCATTCTTATCTACCACTAATAATCATGTCAAAGGTTTGTTGTTGACATTGACTAATGTTTCGACAACCTGTGCGGTCATCTTCAGAGTCAAGGTAAGTTGTATCACGTCAGTTGATGGTATTATACTCTGGTTATAGAGCAAAACTCTGGTGGTAAAAAGGTTACTTCCCAAAATGTTAGTTTTCTTAATCATTGACTTCAAAATACTCGGTCATTTCCAAAAAAAAATTATTTCAAGAGAGAACCGTTTTTAAAAGCATCATTTTTGACACTTTCAAACTGCGACATGCTATAATTCGTCGCTAGTACTCTCTAGGGTGGATCCCGCTTTAGTCAAAGCGGCGTACAATGTTGCTTGTCCTCAACCTAACGGAAACACTTTAATAACTTTATGCTGTGCTAATGATGTTGGACAGAGTGTGGACCCGTTTACCACGGCTTTCAGTGGATACCTAGGTCACGCATGTAAAAGATAACTGTTAAGTTATAGAAACAAATACGAGCTAAAAAATAAAGTTCTAAAGAATAATACAATGAATGCTAACCTGAGAATAGTATGATGAATGGTAAAAGAGGGTCAAAAATGTGACTCTACGTACCCCGCCACGAAAAGCCTTTCCCCTTAATAAAAAAGGAGTTTTAAAGGAAATAGATCTTTCACAGTTTAGCCTAAAAAATTGCTATATTTGAATGTAAATAAGGTCAATTCTCGTCGAAATATGTTTTTTTATGAAAATTGAGAAGATAGCTTTGTAAGCAGCTCGAACGTTTTTTTGTTGTTGTCAAAGGAAGCACAACGTTCAACAGACAGTTACTATTCTTTTCTACCACCTAGTATCATCTTCGGGGCTTATTCTTTCCCGAAGCCACCCTTCTTGGTGTATAAAGTTTTTAGCCGAATGTTCTATTTTACCACTAGTTATCATCTTTGATCGTTCGTATTCTTCTCTGAAGGAAACCCTCTTTGTGTATCAAGAATTTTTGTTTATTCTCAACCATGCAATCAACAGTCTCTCTGTTAAAGATAACAGAAAACTAAAAACTGGTGGTGAATAGGTTACTTTCCAAACTGTTAATTGTCTTAATCATTGACTTCAAAATACTCGGTCATGTCGAAAAAAGAAATTTTTTCCAGAGAACACCATTTTCAAAGGCATCATTTTTTGATGCTTTCAAACTGCGACATGCTATAATTCGTCGCTAGTACTCTCTAGGTTGGATCCCGCTTGAGTCAAAGCGGCGTACAATATTGCTTGTCCTCAACTTAACGGAGACACTTTGATTTCCCTTTATGCAGTGCTATTGATGTTGAAAAGAGTGTGGATCCGTTTACCACGGTTTTCAGCTGATGCCAAGGTCACGCATGCCCAAGATATCTCTTCCGTTATAGCAACAAATAAGCTCAAAACTAAAGTTCTAAAGAATATACAATGAATGGTAAAAACTTGAGAATAATTTGATGAATGGTAAAATAGGGTAAAAAAGGTGACTCTTCGTACCGCGCGCCACGAAAAGCCTTTCCCATTAATTAAAAAGGAGTTTTAAAGGAAATTGATCTTTTACAGAACTTTTAGCCTAAAAAACTGCTACATTTGAATGCCTGAATAAGGTCAATTCTCGTCGAAATATGTTTTTTTAGGAAAATCGAGAAGATAGCTTTGTAAGCAGCTCGAACGTTTTTTTGTTGTTGTCAAAGGAAGCACAACGTTCAACAGACAGTTACTATTCTTTTCTACCACCTAGTATCATCTTCGGGGCTTATTCTTTCCCGAAGCCACCCTTCTTGGTGTATAAAGTTTTCATTTAAATTTACTTCAAGCTTACAGAAAGGTAAACATCAGTGGTGATTAGGTGTCGAAATCGTTAGTTTTTCTCTTTATCAGTAGATTTCTTTTCACAGTTTTTTATCCTGGAAAGAATGTCCACACACCCACGTCACCGTTATATATGCGGATAAAAAGTACACGCATCAACGCAAGTTCAACTTCTTTTACCTTGTAATGACAAATAAACTAAAATATGGATTGATTTACACAGAATAATTCAATGAATGGTGAAGGAGGATCATGAACGAGGTTCTACTAACCACGTTCATTGAAAAGCCTTTTCCGTTATTAGTAACAAATTTAAATGGGTTATTTTCAAAGATTTCGCTAAGAATTCACCAAACGTATACAAAAGAGAAATGCTTTTTGCAACACGGTTTTTCAGAAAATGGAGGAGTTCAGACGTTTGACTCGTTGAAACAGTTTGAGTAGAATAGAAAAACAGCATTCAACCGACTGTTCTATTTTACCACTAGTTATCATCTTTGACTGTTCGTATTCTTCTCCGAAGGAAACCGTCTTTGTGTATTAAGAATTTTTAATGTTTATTCTCAACCATGCAATCAACAGTCTTTCTGTTAAAGATAACAGAAAACTAAAAACTGGTGGTAAAAAGGTTACAGTTCCAAAACGTTAATTTTCTTAATCATTGCCTTCAAAATACTCGGTCATGTCGAAAAAAGAAATTCTTTCCAGAGAACACCATTTTTAAAGGCATCATTTTTTGATAAGCTTTCAAACTGCGACATGCTATAATTTGTCTCTAGTACTCTCTACAATCTTGGACAAAAAGTGTTAAGAATTTTACACTTTGTTATACACGGGGGACACACCCAGTGAATTTAGCATCATGGTGGCCCCTCCCCCCACCCCTCCCTGATCAGTGTTGTTAAGTCTGGACCAGAAATGTTCCGGTGACCCTTCAACATTGTTTTTTTGGGGGGGAGGGGAAAGTATCTTGAGTGTACGGGTCTTTGGAGTGAAGTATTCTAAAATGAAACATACGAGATGTATTTTTCTTAACATTTTTGTCCAAGATTGTATTTTCCAAATATTGAAGGGTATGGGCGACAGGAAACATTTATAGTGAAAAGAAGGTGTTTTTCGTAGAAATGGAATAAAGAGAAAGATTTTGAAAATCCAAAACTGATTGTTCAATTCTGTTTGGTCCGCTGTCAGGGTTCTGAATGCTGCGGGGGTGAGTGAACATATAGAAGACTGACGTTACAGTGACAACGAGGCGTAGTTGTCATGGTCATCGAATTATAATGTTCATTACTCTGCAGATCCTGTGATGGAGTTAATATGTGCTTACGAAACATCGGCTAGTGATAACGACACTGACACAGATTTTTCGGCCGCTGAGATACAGCACGGTGGTATAAATTAGCATGCTGCTATTAAACTGAAAAAAATTTGCCGATGGAGTGGTTGTAAGAGAGTTTTGAAGCAGCGCTATGGTATAACTGTGAATTTTTCAAGCCATCACCATAACTACTGCAGTGCGTGGTGTTATGTTACCAAAAGCGATACGGACTTTCAGGAGAGTGAAGGGCACCCCGATTTAAAAAGCAAAGGAAAGCCAAAAACAAGCAAGGCGAGCGAAAAAGTTGCAAAGAAGGGTAGGAAAAGGGGCCCGGGCGGCTCCAAAGTCGCTAAAACTAAGAAGCGAAAACGTTTAACCTCGTCCCAGGTAGCTGATATACTGTTAGCGAAAAACATCAAAACGGTGACGGAGCTTCAAGCCCTAGCTTACACACAGAAAAGGGAAGGGAAGGAGGATGTGATGGACTTCATAATTGGAAGATCTCGTAAAGCAGTATCTGAGCTGCTTGAAACAGCGTGGGAAATAAAAGAAGCAGGGGAAAAGATCGCACGCGCCCATAAATCACGCGTAGAGATTCTACAAGAGGCAGGAAATGAAGAATGTTTGTGTGCTACTAGAGAGGAGTGGCTAGAATGTGCCAGACAAGTGCTACAGAACAATGATATTGAGGAACGTACTTTTGGTAGGGCTATAATTACCGCATTAGAGAAAGGGAGGGGTAAATATAGGAACATAATGATTATCGGACCTGCAAATTGTGCGAAGACATTCCTTTTAAAGCCGCTACGTGTAATGTACAACACTTTCTGTAACCCGGCTACGGGTAGCTTTGCGTGGATAGGTTACAGGACAAAGAATGTATTTTTCTGAACGATTTCCGATGGTCCCAGCAGTTGCTACCATGGCACGATTTACTGCTTTTGCTTGAAGGGGAAACAAAATATTTGCTTGCAAATAGAATTTTTATGTCTTCTCTCTTTGACCAGGGTATTTGATAATTAAGGGGGACTGGGTTTGGGTCAGGTGTCAGTGGCCATTATGTTCAACCCCCCTCTAAGGTTTTTGACAAGTCACATGAACTCGCAAGCCATGTGCTTGCCATTCTTCTCTACTGCTCGGTGTTATAATATATCTTATTGGGGCAGTGTGGGGCTTGCTACTGCGGCAACTTATGTTAGCCATGCTTGTCCTTGCCCGTCTTTGTTCAATTTTATTTATTTGGGGCAGTTTGGGGCTTGCTACTGCGGCAACTTATGTTAGCCATGCTTGCCCTTGCCCGTTGTTGTTTAATTTTATTTTTCAGTATTGTTGTCTTATCTGGGCCAGTTGGGCTTTGCAACGAACCTGGTCTTCCTGTTTCATTACTGGGGGGCTGTTATGGGACTTGCGGCTATACCCAAAGGCTGTTTTACCCTTGCCCGTTTATTGCATGTTAACTGTTTGCCTGTCACTGAGTTTGGGCTGTTTAGGAGGCTCACTGCTGCGGTAACAGAATGTTCGGCAGCATTTTTGTTTTGGTTGTTAAGTTTCCAGCAGCCGTTTTTCTTGAGAGCTGGTTTCTGCCTTTTTCTTATGGTTTTGTTTTTCAGATGCCTCCCCGACAATCTACTCGGTCGAAACGACCTTCCACCCAAGCTTTAGAGTCTCTTGGGGCTTCACCTCCTCGAGGGAAGCGTACTGCGGCTTCCAGTTTACCATCCAGTGGTAACGACAGGGAAACAGCCGCTCAGTCAGCAGTTCTTCTTTCTGGACCATCTTCGCATGCCTCCGAGCCTGTTATTCCAGCAACCGGACCCGCCTTTCCTCCTGCTCTGTTCGACCAGTTGGTTCAGCGGGTAGCAGCTGAGGTCACCAGACAGCTCCAGCCAGCATCCTTTTTGCGTGCTGTTCAAGAGCCCCAAGTGCCATCTCCTGCCCCTGCTGCTTTTCCTAGTCTGGCCGGAACAACAGCCGTTCAACAGCTAACCACCGAGGTCCCTGAGGTCAGTTCTTCTCCTGTTGGCAATCCCTCAGCTGTGGACCAGGTTACTCAAGTGGTACAGTCAGTCCACTCTTCATTGGCAGGTGAGAGTCCATCAACAGGGGCATTCCAGCCTAAGGACATATTCACGTCCGTCAATTTGCCAGTCGATGCAAGGGTGCCATTGAAACTCAAAACCAAATCTGGAATAATGAATTTATTGACTTTGGTTTGCTCTTGGCCAACCAATTTGCCGAAGGAAAATATCAGCTCACCATTAATCCTGGTGATGGCTCTTCACCCTCTTTGGCTCTTGAGCCCATTACTAAGCCTAAGAAAATTGTGTCAATAGATAGTTGGGTCCAAGCTTTCCATGTGTTTGTGGGTGTTTTTACGAGCCGCTTTCCGAGTGATGCTCCGGGCCTTATGAAGTATGGCTCCACCATCCAGGACCTTGCTGCCAGGGGTCATAACTGGCGTTTTTATGATGAAAATTTCCGGTTTTTAAGACAGACCCCTGCTACTTCCCTTCCATGGGGTACTATTCATTGGGAGCTTTGGCTCCGCTC